TGGGTTGACCTTGCTTGTGAAGTATGTTAGCGGATGGTATATCATATGGAAGATTCAGTACATATAGTTGTGTTAATTGTGCTTTTTCATTTGTTTGGGTGTATATTTCGAAAAGTCTACACATATTTTTTCCAAGATTGTAGCACAAATGATGTTCAAATCGCGCTATTGTCCTTCTTTCGGTGTTATTGATATACTAATCATTCTACTGTGCTTCTCTTTTGTTTAAATGACATGCAAATGCTGTAAACAAAAAAGTTAATAAACTCGTTTTTTCCAGGTATGTTGAAAGCTAATTTTATCTAATTTTAACAAAAAACGATATATCGCTAACCTCACGGTTGTTGCATGAGTAAACAAATGAATTTTCAATTTTCAAGTTTTCCAGCGCTTTCATAAGCTGAGTTTTAACAAAACTGGTAGCCTGAAAACGGCCTTATTAAAATGTTCCAAAAATTCCTTTCATTACTTTGCTATATCCTGAATGTAAGCAATTAAAGCAGCCGGAAAAATTATTGTTCAAAATCTAGAATTAAACACTTGCAGGAAATTCAATTCAATAATTAACCTTATCAGTGACGGTGTGTATATTGCTCTTTCAAATAGTTACAATACTGGGGCCGGTTGTATAAAACTCTTAATCACTTTTTAATCACTATTTTGTAGTTAAATAGTGATTAACTCGCAAATACGCGCTTCTTATTGGATGACGTTTCCACTAACTATAATTAAGTTTAATCACTTTTTTATACAACCGGCCCCTGTTTTTTGAGCATGCTGATGTCACCGCTCGGCCTTCTATGTTCAATTAAAAGCAAAGCATTCCAAAGCTTAATTGCTGTCACTAAAAATGTTATCACTAAATATGACTCGCAGTTTATTATAATTGATAATTAAAGGTAATTATGGTAATTGATCAAACATATTTATAATCTATGAAATATTTTTAGAAAGTTTCTTCCATTTTTTGGTATCAATACTGTCCCCAGTGACATGCAAGTGTCAACAGTTCACTCTGTTTAAAGTAAGCCGTCTCGTATCAGTGTCTCAATTTCTCGCTTCAAAGGATAATAATTTCTTGTAAAGCCGTCAGAACCCTTCTTCATATCTATGACCTCCCATCTTCCATTCTTTTTCGACAAACAACACATAATGATGGATTTGTTAACTTTAAGACGGACATCGACTTTATCACTGCATAGTTGCTTGTCAGGATAGTTGACATCATAAAAATTAAGCCTGTAGTAGGGATATTCTGAAATACTGGATGAACGCCAGGCACTTAACGTAAACACCAACTTGTCAACATGATGTGGAACTGTCTTGAGGTTTACTGTGACTTGATGTCGGCCTTCTCGTTTATAATAATACATGTCAGCAGGGCCTGAGTGCACAACGCCGGGACAGAGGGATAAATATGGATCTCGGTAGTAAATGACACCGAGATTTGTTCTGCCACTGTAAACCAACACTGAAACATCTAAGTAGTCTTTATCGCGTCCACGTGGTAATCCCCAGTAGAAATCAAAAACAGCATTTTCGAGCTCATCTGGCACAGCCCACAGCACGATGATGAGGTGCAATTTACTTTCTGGTGGAACGTTGTGGTCTTTCAGCGTAAGCATTTTACGATCTTCATTTCTTACCTGAAATTTGAATTAAAAACTTAAAATACTCATTAAAAATTCATAAACCTGGTGACAAATCATGTCAGCCATAACATGTCACGTGGAGTAACTTTATATCTGATAAAACTCATCCTAATTAGTATGATTATATAATGGTTCATCCTAATTAGTATTCTTTTGTAGTCGTATTTTAAGCCATTTAAAGCACTTGTAGTCGTGTTTTAAATAGTACTTAAAGTTGTTAATCACTCAATATAAATTCGGTATATTGACCATCATCAACACTTGATACGCTAACACTATTCGGTATATTGATCATCATCAACACATCAACAACACACTTCGCCTATGTAGATTCTAAATCGTCTGGTATACGATCTTCAAATCAAC